TAAAACTGTACATTTTAGATTGGCCTTTTATTGTGGCCAGCCTAAGGCACACCTGTGCAATAATCATTCTGTCTAATCAGCATCTTGATATGCCTCACCTGTGAGGTGGATGGATTATCTTGGCAAAGGAGAAGTGCTCACTAACACAGATTTAGACAGATTTGTGAACAATATTTGAGAGAAATGGGCCTTTTGTGTACATAGAAAAAGTAGATCTTTGAGTTCAGCTCATGAAAAATGGGGGCAAAAACAAAAGTGTTGCGTTTATAATTTTGTTCAGTGTAATTATTACTAACCGTAGTAAATTCATGGTCCCTAAACATTATAAGATATGCAATTATACAATCTCTGATGAAAATGTTGATAAAAATAAATGAATATAGTTTAGCAGTGAGCAATCCTGAATATTTTAGGCCTTTTGATGATGCCAAATATATTTAATAATTATATATAACATTTTTTTTTCAATCAGAGGAAGTATCACTCCAAACTCCAGGAAGTGTCACTGTTGTCTAGAGGATTCAAAATGTTTAAATGCAAGTAAAATACAGTTAAAACTTCATTTTAATGCTATTTTTAAACGAATTAAATTATATATGAGATATTATATAAATATTTAACCACTTGAATTCATTTACTTACATATTATTTTCTTTTTTACACTAACAATTGTGAGTGAATAGATTCATAACACTAATTCCATGATTCATATGTGTATCAAATGACTGAATCAGTGTTTTGAATCAGTTCACTGAAATAGATGCTCTGAAACTGAATTCCATCAGTATTTTATTTCAGATCAGACGTGCTATTAAACTCCTTCTCAGACCTCTCATACACTTCGTTTAAAAGTTTGGGGTCGGAAAGGTTTTTATTTTTATTTATTTATTTATTTTTGGAAGAAATAAATATAGTTATATTCAGCAAGGATGCATTCAATTTATCAAAAGAGGCAGTTAAGAAATGTATAATGTTACAAAAGATTTTTGCTTCAAATAAATGCTGTTCTTTTGAATTTTGCTTTCATCAAAGAACCCTGAAAAAAAGTATCAGTTTCCTTAAAAGTATTAAGCAGCAACAACTTTTTTTTTTTTTTGCATATAGAATGATTTCCGAAGGATCATGTGACACTGTGATCATGTGATCACAGAAATAAATTACATTTTAAAATATATTACAGTTGAAAACATTTTTTCAAATGCTAATAATATTTCCCAATATTACTGTTTGTACAGTAATATTGGCGATGGAGCTTGAGAAGGTTGTTCAAAGCATTGCTCAACGATACGGTTCATCACTGTTTTCTGGCCTCAATGAGTGATGCCTGCATGTGGAGTTGTGATGTAGATTTGCAATATTGAGATTATAAAGGCTCCTTCGAGAGCCATTTATGTGCTGTTTGTTTTCTCAGTCCACATTCTGTTCCCTTTGCCCTTTCAATGAGTCAAAGAGGACGGGGCCCCTCAGAGCCCTTCATTAACTCTACCACCAGGGGCCAGGGACCTCATTCAGATGGGACATAATGGATGCTGGGGGGAAATGACTACAATGTCTTCTGTAAGTTACTACCGTTCAAAATTTGGGAGTCAGTACGTTTTAATTTTTTTTAAAGAAATGAATACTTTTATTCAGCAAGGATACATTAAATTGATCAAAAGTGACAGTAAAGACATTTATAATGTTACAGAAGATTTCTATTTCAAATAAATGTTGTTCTTTTGAACTCTCTATTCATCAAAGGGTACTGAAAAAAATATGTATCAGACAGGTATTTTAAATTGTAATAATATTTCACAATATTACTGTTTTTACTGATCAAATAAATGCAGCCTTTGTTAACAAAAGAGATTTCTTTCAAAAACATTTTAAAAGGTTTTGAACGATAGCGAACGATAGGGCCTCATGGCAAAAAATTATATTTCGACAACAAAATGCAGATATATTAAAAGTGTAGAAATAATGACATTTAGGGTGTTTTACCTGCAAGATCTTCTTTGGATGTGGCCATGCGCGGCGAGCTGTTCCCTGGTTCAATTTTCAGAGACAGCCTGTAATGGAAAGACAAGCAAAAGTCTCACACTCCACAAGTTCCAGGAAGCTTCAGGGTGGTACATTTAACATTTCAAAAGCAACTAATGTTTGGCTGAAGGTACAGGGTTTGAAGATGAATTTAGTTGAATCGGATCTGCCATAAACCCAAAAGAAGACATGTTAGTGAAATCACCACATCACTTTATCCTCAACCTACAGTGCCACCTTAAACACTCAAAATTTATTTTACTGTAAGAGACGTCACTTTTAATTTAAAACAAAAATATAATGGAAAACAGGATTTTTCTTGCTCTTTTCTATTAAGAGAATAGTTCACCCAAAATTACAATTTGCTAAAAAAGTACTCACTAGCAACATGACTTGCTCACCAATGGATCCTCTGGAGTGAAAAAAAAAGTGAAAAAGTCCAGCTTTTGGCTTCACAAGACGTTAACTGATGGACTGGAGTGGTGTGGATTACTTGTGGATTATTGTGATGTTTTTATCAGCTGTTTGGACTCTCATTCTGACGGCACCCATTCACTGCAAAGCATCCATTGCTGAGACAGTGATGCAATGCTACATTTCTCCAAATCTGATGAAGAAACAAACTCATCTACAACTTGGATGGCCTGAGGGTGAGGACATTTTCAACAAAATTGAATTTTTGGGCGAACTACTCCTTGAAAAAGTTTGATGCACTATGTATACCTTCGCCAAGTGCAAGAAGATTTCTTAAATCGAAACTGCAAAAATGACATCAAAACCACAAGCTCATTAACATATGACTGCCCACATTTACATTTAACACCTAGTCAGTATTCCTGCAACTTAACCTGCCCTGATGAACGACAGTCTATGTAAAATTTCATCACTTGCAAAATGACTAGAGAGACTAGAATGATCATACAACACTAAACTGTAACCACTTCACCTTTCAAAAGCTATAAAAGCACTTACAGGCCTCAGAGGTGATGTAAAATGTTCATGCATGCATTTGGCTTTTCTAGTCGTGTACTTGACCTAAAGGAGACACTGAGAAACCCAAACAGGATCTGCTGGGCTGATAACATTTCACGTTTTTATAGGGGACCAGAAGGGACTCGTTGTTAACAATCCAATAGACTGAACTGCAATCTCTTATTTCCACACCATCAATTATGATTTGACATTCAGAATGCACAGAATATGCAAAAACAGCCTTTAATGGTGTTTTGGCATGATGTACGGTGAGATTTAGAAAGGAGCATTCAAAATAAACACAGCATGCAGCCAAGTTTCTGTCTCTCAAACAACAAGGCTGAATAAAGTCGCTTTAGATAAAAGCATCTGCCTAATGCATAAATGTAAAAAATGAGTATAAGTTGTCAACTACTTGTCAGTCTCAACAAAAGTGAGTTTTTTGACCATTTTGGTCTGAAGTTTTGCTAAATATTGATGCTATGAGCGAACCAGGGTTATTAATTAAACTAAAAAATCACATTTTCATTACATATAAAAATAAAATAAACTTGAACTGAAATGAAATAAATATAAAAACCTTGACCTTATTTTATGTCAGATAGTTGCCAGAGCAACATTTCGCATTTTCATTTAGTTTAACCTGATGAACTGAAATAACTAAAACTAAAACTGAAATAAAAATTTAAATAATTAAATAAACAAAAACTAACAAACAAAATTAGTAAAACATTTAACTACAATTGAACAACAACTTTACTACCCCAACATATGTAATAAAGTTATACTAATAATAATATTTTAATAACAAAATGTACAAAAATGCATCATTAAAAATACATACACAATAATTTATCATAAGGAAATTACTTAAGTTGCAGTTAAATTATAGTACAGTTACATTATCTGTTATTGTTTATAAACAAAATAAATCTCACATCAGGGATTTATTCAGTCATCTTTATTTGACATTCCACATTTATCCAGGTGTGGTACAGTCAGTTTACTCATCTTAAATGCAGCTACTGGACTTTTTTTTTTTTTTTGACATTTATGATCAATAGAGACCAATTACTGTGTGTTTGTAATAATCAAACCATTGAATATTTTTAAATCATTGAACACATCTGCAGAAATGACATCCAAAGACCTCCAGGAAAATGAACCAGTTTAACACCATGATGGCCAAAGAACAAAATGAAACCGCCAAAAACAGCAACTCAACAACCTGAAACAGCGTTCAGGGGATTTGTGAAAGAAAAGATCAGATTCTTTCAGGATAACACACTGTTTTAGGGAAGTCAGATAGCCGGTGGGTGTGGAGAAATCCCTGGAGAAGCACTAATCACAGCAATCAATCATTCACTGCTAATTTGCACATAACAGCATTTCTCAGTCACAAAAACACACATTTTCACTGATGAGATTGGAGTGACTTAACAGAGGTTGAGAGTTCAGAAACCAGACAATGTCAAACTATTCCAAACCATAACAAGACTACAGTTTTAGGCCTCAAAGACGAGCTCCTGTGCAACGGCTGTTTCCATACGGTAGGCAGCAAAATGACAAATTATAAAGCAGCACCACATGCATCCGCTGCAAAAAAGCCAATCCCAGAATGCACTGCGACGAGCTTGGTGTAAATTTCTGTGAGTACTACAGAGTTTGCACTACAACAAACTAACAGCAACTCTATTTAAAAAAGAGATTATTTCAACCAATTTCTGCCACGGAATAAAAAAAGGCAACTTTTTATCTCACATTCATCGCATGATTTTTTCCCCCTTGTAATTCTGAGTTTATATCTCTCAATTAAGACTTTTTTCTTGCAATTTGGAGAAAAATCCCAGAATTGCGAGATATAAACTCAGAATTCTGAGGAAAATGTCAAAATTGTGAGATGTAAAGTCAGAATTCTAATAAAAAAGTCAAAATTGCAATATTTAAATTCAGAATTCAGAGGGAAAATATCTAAATTACGAGACGTAAACTCAAAACTCTGAGGGAAAAAAAGTCAAAAATTGTGTGATGTAAACTCAGAATTCAGAAAAAAGTCAAAATTACGAGATTTAAACTCAGGATTCAGAGAAAAAAAAAGTCAGTTGCAATTACCTTTTACAAAATTTTAATCTGTGGTGGAAACAAGTTGTCATAGTAAATATGCAAAACATATACAGTACATTGGAAATCATTTCAAACTGCTCATTCCGCAGCCTCTGTGTCTGGTGGGTGAAGTTCATTTTCCACCCAGTGTTTCCAGACCTGTCGACCTGCAACGCAAAAGCCCTCGAGCCGCCTGCGTCTTTCATGTTCGCAGCCCATCCAGAAAGCTGGCCGCGGATCAGAAAGAGAGACGGCCACCGCTGATGAGGGAGGCCGGATACAGCCAGCAGCATGATGTCAGTCCTGGATGAACTTCAATAGCACACCCTACGGTTTCAGTGCGTTTGGGGTCGTAACGGGGTCACAGACGAAACGTCACCATGGAGACCACATGAGAACCGCCGACTATCATCGAGATTTGGAGCTGAGCCCATCTCACCCGCTATAAAACAGAGCTGAGCTGTGCAAAAAACACCCTGGAGATTTGAGATACGGCAAACCACAAATAACATCATGACAGACGCTCAGAGTCCCTCTGTTGTATAAACAAAGATGGAAGAGCTATTTTAAAAATGTGTTCATTGACTGAACTCTGACTCGATCCACAACAAAAGCTCTGTGATTTTAACCAAACGTAACTGCAATCTGATTATTGTAGGTCTTTTTAATGTGACTTTGGTTACATGTGCAGCGTACATGCTTTTCTTATGCCTAAACATCAAACAACACACAATTAGACATCAAATATTTGGATTTCTGCAGTGTACTGTATTGTAACATTGTTGTGGCCAGTTGTTCATGTTTAATAAGTCATAAATGTAACATTATCTCACTGGATGAAGTTTTGCTGACATAACAAGAATGGCTTTTGTTAGATTGGAAGATAAAATAAGTTGAAAATGACAGAAAAATCAGTACTGATTCACAATGCACGCAGCATTGCTTACAGCAAAAAGTGTTTATGAATTTATAGCTTCAATTACATTAACGTTTTCTCATTAAATAAAACTGAACTTTATATGACAAATATAAACCTGCACAAATTAGAATACATATATTTTCAAAATATGTAAAAACCTAACTTTAAATAAAAGACAGTATACATTTGTTTAATATATAAAAATACATATCTTTTCAAAATATAAAATCTAACTATAAATGAAAACTATACTGTATACTTGTATAAAAACATAAATGTATATATATATATTTTTTTTTTTTCATAAATATGTAAAAACCTAACTTTAAATGAAGAATGTAAATGTGCATAATATAAAAATACATATTTTTTTTAAGAAAATCATAATTTTAAATGATGAATACAAACTTGAAAAAATATATATTTTTATTTTTTTCAAAAATATGCAAAAATGTTTAATATATAAAAATACATATATTTTCAAAATACATATAAAAATCTAACTATAAATGAAAAATATATACTTGTATAAAACATAAATGTGTATATATATATATTTTCATAAATATGTAAAAACCTAACTTTAAATGAAAAATGTAAATGTGCATAATATAAAAATACATATATATTTTTTTTAAATCCTAATTTTAAATGATGAATACAAACTTGAAAAAAAAATATTTTTCTTTTTTCAAAAATATGCCAAAAATGTTTAATATATAAAAATACACATATTTTCAAAATAAATATAAAAATCTAACTATAAATGAAAAACATATACTTGTATAAAAACAGAAATGTATACATATTTTTTTTCAAAAATATGCAAAAACCTAACTTTAAATGAAAAATGTAAATGCACATAATATAAAAATACATATATAATATATAACATATATAATATATATATATATATATATATATATTATATATGTTATATATTATATATGTATTTTTATATTATGTGCATTTACATTTTTCATTTAAAGTTAGGTTTTTGCATATTTTTGAAAAAAAATATGTATACATTTCTGTTTTTATACAAGTATATGTTTTTCATTTATAGTTAGATTTTGGTCTCAATGATGCTGTCAGACGCAGGATAGGCAGAGTCGATGTAAATCATGTCCAGCAGGTAGATCCCTGTGAATGAGAAATGGAAGAGAGACGGACTGTAAGCATTAATGTTATTTATGGATTCACTGATATGGACATTTAGGTTTACATGATAATAATGATAATAATAATAATAGCAATATATATATGTGACCCTGGACCACAAAACCAGTCAGAAGGGTCAATTTTTTGAAATTGAGATTTATACATCTTATTTATTTATACAAGCTGAATAAATAAGCTTTCCATTGATGTATGGTTTGTTAGGATAGGACAATATTTGGCCGAGATACAAAAAAAAAATCGATAATTTTGACCTATACATTGTTTTTTTGGCTATTGCTTCAAATATACCCCAGCGACTTAAGACTGCTTTTTTAAATAAATGAATTTACATAAAATAAATAAATGTAACAATTTGTTTGAAATTATTTATAAATAAATGAATATATTTAAATAAATGAATAAATATACTTTTCAATTTAATCTTTTTAATTGAGACAATTTAACAATTTAATCTACCGTATATAATTTCAATTAATGTGTTTCAGTACTCAGAGCACTACTACATGTTGATATCTGTACAGACATCTGATAATACAGCAGAACTACTCTATTAACTTGCGATAAATTATTCTAAGTCTTATAAAGAGATTGAGATAAAGCACCTCCACACACAGTAACGGTGTATTACCTCAGTCAAGCTGGGATACACATGATACGTACTGATTAACAAGATCCAGATATGTACTGCAGGAACAGGTGGACACTATTGGCCTTAATTGATCCCAGAATGCATCTTGATTTAGAGGTGAGGAAGAAATTACTCATCTGCATGGCATTTACAATTAGATCTTTTCTAATCTTCTATTTGATTTCTGCAGGTTGGTCAAAGAGTAAAAGTATCTGGTGAGACAAGAATCGCACATGTGAAGATCTGAGGCAGTCATGCTTGGGTCGTAAATAACATGACCCAAGTGTATCTTTAACATCAGGGTGTTTGTGATGAAGACATACTACTACAGTACACTACATGTTCATACTCCTGCAGTATACATGTTCGGCACACACACTTCAGTATGAATTGAACACACTGATCTCTTAAAGAAACACTCCAAACAAAAAATTACAAATCTGTCGTCATGTACTTACCCTTCATGTTGGTCCAAACCTGTATGACTTTTTTTTCTTGTGTGAAACACAAAATGAGATCTTAGACAAATTCTGAGCTGGATGCATATCAACCCCCCAAAAAAGCAACATAAAAGCAGTTTGGGAAAACGAATCATCCACCATCTACTTTTTGTTGCATGCAAAAGAGCATCGCAAACATATAGGAGCCCATTTCTGACACATGAGAAAAAAAAAAATGAAATCATGTAAATCATTATTACATTGAAAAAAATGGCGTAGAAACAATTTCACTCTGAACTGCTAGTAAATTTCACAAATTATAATTACAAAGAAACGTCGAGTACCAATGAATTAAACATAATTTTTTTAAGTAGAAAACTGAAATAGTATTTTCTTGTAAAACGTACTCCAATAACTTTGTTTTATTCACTACTCTGATAAAACATTATTTTTTACAGTGTATGACAAAAATAGTTGAAATTAGTGATAATTATGAGATTAACGTAGAAATGATTAAATAAAAAGCTATAAATAAGACATAAAAAGTCATTATTATGGCATTATTTTTTAAGTGAAAATTTTTATAATTATGATATACTAATATACTAACCCTAATTTATGTCATAATTATGACTTTTCATCTCATAATTTAAACTTTTTATGTCATAATTATGTATTTTTAATCTCCTAATTTCGATTATTTCATAATTTCAATTTCTTAATCTCCTAATTTCTATTTATTTAATAATTTTTACTTGTGTCAATTTCAAATGGCCATAATGACTTTTTGTCTCATAATGTTTAGCTTTTTATGTACTAATTATGACTTTTTAATCTCCTAATTTTGATTATTTTCATAATTTTAACTTTTTCATCTTCTACACTTTATTTATTTCATAATTTTGAGTTATGTCAATTTCAACATTCATAATTATGACTTAGTATTTCATAATTGCAACTTTTTATCTCATAATTATGATCTACAAAAGCATGTTTTTAGGACATTCTGTCTATAGTATCTACAGTAATTCTATGTTTTCATGGAAAATAATACAGGACATGTACAGTAGGGTGAGTAAATAACGATAAAATTTTCATTTTTGTTTGAATTACTCCTTTAACTAGATTAACTTCTATGATGAACTAAAACTATTAAACCCCGAAAGACAAACTACTGAGAGTTAATGAGAAGCACTGCAGTGACTGCAGAAGTTCAGCTGTGGAAAGAATGAAAAATCGGTTTCCACCCGAACAGCTGTGGTCTCTGGAGAGTGAGAGCAGATGTTTGAGGCATCACAAAGCATGTGGCAGGAGATGGCATGGCCTCCTGCAAACCATTAGATGTGTTTCAGTAATGCACACACACACAGGGTCGAGACCCTGCTCCGCAGTGGTGTTTCTTATGCCAGCGTACACAGCTTTGTTCAGATAAAAAGGAACCAACCAACGAACCAGCCAACGAAACAACCAATGAACCAACCGACCAACAAATGAACCAAAGAACCAACCAGCCAATGAACCAACCAAAAAACAAATGAACTAAAGAACCAACCAACGAATGAACCAAAGAACCAACCAGCCAATAAACCAACCAAGAAATGAACCAATGAACCAAAGAACCAAACAACGAATGCACCAACAAATGAACCAAAGAACCAACAAATGAACCAAAGAACCAACCAGCCAACAAACTAATGAACTAACCAACCAACCAAAGAACCATCTAATGAACCAATGAATGAACGAACCAACCAACCTACCTACCTAAAATCTATCTAGATTATACCTAAATATATCTAATTATATATATTTTAGATGACTAATTTTCTCAGTTATCAGGAGTTGCAAAGATTAATTTTGGACCTGCATTTGTGAATAACCTTTATGTAAATATTATGTCTAGGAACAGTAAAGAGTTTTCTTTGGACATTCTTAGATGAGATTAAACATAAGGAAAGTTTATCTTCTCTACTGATTCATGCAAAAGGGAAAAAGTGGCTGGTATTCTAGCAAATAAATGTTTAAATGAAAACCACATGGCTGGATTCATACTGAGAGGAAGTCCTCACAATCTAATAAAAGCATAAATCAGACTAATGTATAAAACAAGGCAACAATTCTGCTCGTAACTGTGTAGTCAAACGGTGGTGCCCTGCTAGTGATTAGAAGAGCATTATTTGAGCAAATGACCGGGAGGGTTCGTTTAATACGTCAGTTTATTTATGGTGCTCTGGATAAACTGCTCCAGGCTGCTTGTCCTCACCAAAACAGATGGAGATGTTCATCTAAATAATCATGTGTTTTTGTGCTGTAAACAAAACACATATTTAAATAAATGTCCCATAGCAGCGGCACAGCATGACGGATTCTATTAAATCATGCGTTCATTTGAGCCAGAGACCACGAGAGGTGATGTGTTACCATGAATAAAATTATAATCACAGACATAAACAACAGTCACATTAGCCAGAGTAAAGACATACCTTTAATGAATGATTAAAAGATAGACAGACAGACAGACAGATTGACAGACAGACAGACAGACAGATAGACAGATAGACAGATAGACCGATAGATAGATAGACAGATAGATAGATAGATAGAGCCACATTTTATTTATAATATCTGCGTCGCCTTTAAGTGAAGCAGATATTTTAAGCTAGTCCAAATACAGCAATAATACATCAGAAACTTAATTGAAGAAGATCAGCTGTGAACACAACATCTCCACACATCCAGTTCAGTCACACACAGTGCTGTACGACCAGCCTTGACACAATCTGACTCACTCTATGGCTTCATCCACACGATGACATCAGCACTCAACATCTCTGCCATTGTATTACCAGAGCCAGTCTGTTTCCAAGCACAAAGTCATGAAAATCTTGCAACACAGTTTCCTATTTCCTTTTTCTTTCAGGGTGTTATCAGCAGGTTTCGTGAGATTCACCTGAACGCTTGAGCTAAATATAAAGACGGAAACTCAGTTTGACAGCATCGGATGAAGGTTGTGGGAAGGTATAGACATGTTGCACAAGCGATTACAAACATCAAATTGGAGTTTACTGCTTGCCTTCTGCCTGGGGTGTGTGTTTTGTTTAAGGTCATCTTTTGGTTTTCCAGGAAAACCTGATGAAGGACTCACTGATGAGATGTTCAGACTAAACAGGATCAGGGTAAAGCTCTCCTGTGCCCTTAAAAGGCAGCAGTGTGGCATCTTACATAACAGTGCCTCAAAGCACATGGTGAAAACCTGACGGATCGAACAGTACATTATCGTTCCTTCCTGCTATTGCAACATTCACCTTGGACAGCACAGCTCTGCTTCATGTGTTGTTCTTGTTACACAATCAGAGATGTTTGCCCAAAGAGACTGTGAAACGTGCTGAAGCAAAGTTCACAAAGTTGTGATTTGCTTCCAAGGCTGATCGTCCAACACAAACCAGGTCTTTGCACATGCAACGAGCTCTGGTTTTGTTTCTCAGCTGTGAGAAACTGTCTTTGGTCTGATGTGTTTTATAGCTACACGTCTGCACAAGTTACTATCTTGGACAAAAATGATGTCCTTCAAGTCTGGCTTGGATTGTTCCTCTTTACTCTGAGCATAATAATATACTCACTGACTATTTGTGACGTTTAATCATACATGCATATGACCAAAATAAAATATCAAACTGTTAATTGCAATCATTCATATGACAATTAATCATCAGCAAAAATGCAGTCCTTCAAACCAACACTGAAAACCACTGAAATACATTGACCACTGATAGAAAAGGCAGTTTTGATGATCTATATGCACTGAAGCATCTTTAAACATGATCATTAGCACAGGAAACGCAGTATGGAAGAGCTGGACAAAACTGCTGCCAGGCAATGAGCTCATACACACA